AACTTGCTGCAAAACCCAGTGACCTTCCTTTCTGTTATTTTAAAATGACTTTCCTGCTGTCTGAGAGAATCAGGGCAGAACATGAGTTTGCATCCATCTACTGCAGCATGTCCTGTAATCAGAACTGAGCTGGAACGTGCTCCGGACTCCGGGATCAGCTCCAGAAGAGGAATTAGAGGCACTTTTAAGGCATAGTGGTCTTGTCCAGCGTGGTACTGAATGACTGCCACTGAAATGGATCTTTGATCCTGATGTTGGACTGAAAGAAATAGCTGTGAGACACCTTATGATCTACACTAGGAGTTTGGTAGATGTTCTCTAAAAGACTTCTTATTTGGTACAATTTAAGTAGAAAAACAACAACTTCAAATTGAGAAGTTTTGTGCATCAAATAAATAGTTTAATCAACAATCTTTTATCAAGGCAAATAAAACAGACATGCAAGTAAAGGATTATTGTTGTTGAAATCGTAAATAATGAATTAAAATACAAGATCACATGTGCTGAGACTTCTAATTGGTTTAGTTTGTGGTTACCATAAAATGGCAATTGATTAGCTACAGAAGACGGCCGGTACATGATGTACACCCACACCTGCGCAGGTCTGCCTGTCTCAGGTGAAGGTAAATCTCTTCTCACAGATATCCAACCATCTGCTGCCTCTGTGTGAAACTCACCTGAACAAAGCTTTATTTAACATCCCCAACAGACGGAGACACGCATAGATTTCGGTCAGGGTCCACTAAGTCACCCCCTGTCTCTGGCCTCAGTCGTGACCCCGTTAACCAATCAGGAAGCGCATTGAAACAAACCCCCTTTATTTGGCAGGAAGTGCCCTCCTGCCCCCTTCTTGTGTGCTGTGTGTGAATCAGTTAACCCCTGCAGACCAGTTTTTCTTTATCAACTGAGAGAAACCTCATCTTCTCCATCTCTGGAGTCAGTCTTCCACAACACCAACCTGCAACACCAGGTAACCTAACTCCTCCCACATAAACACACCTGAATTAGCCTTTAGGTGATCAGCCCTGATGTTCAAAGTGTTTTGCCTTAATGACAACAACTAGATTGATGCATCTCAGCGGATATTAATCAAAAATATTATGTGACTTCACTTGAGAGTAGACATAAATAATGGATTGAGTTCAGTCATTGGGCTGACCTGTGTGGTATAACAAAAATCTTCATTTATCTGCTATAAAAGAAATGTACAGCTGCGGCTTAATACCTTAAAGTGCATTAACACTGTGTAGATTTCTAACATACAATGAGTAAAAAATATGGGCTGCATAGTGTAACAGTGGTTAGCCCCTCTGCCTTGGAGCAAGAAGGTTTTGGGTTCGATTCATGACGCAAGTTGTTTCTGCGTTGAGTTTGCATGTTCTCCCTGTGCATACGTGGGTTACTCCGGCTTCCTCCCACAGCCAAAAAACATGACTGAGGTTAATTGGCCTATCTAAATTCTCCTTAGCTGTGAGTCAGTGCGTGAATGGTCATTGGTCCTGTTTGTCTCTGTGTTGCCCTGCGATAGACTGTCCAGGGTGTACCCTGCCTCTTGCCCATTGAAAGCCGGATATAGGCTGTCAATTGCACCAGCACTGCTCGTGACCCAGTAGGAATAAGCGTGATGGAAAATGGATGGATGTAGAATTAGTAAAAAAAATATATGCTTGAATCAGAGGTCTTTGATCAGTCTCCAACAGGCCCACTTTTAACAAACGTTTAGCATCTGCAAACATACTTCTCCTATTCCCAGCCAGAAGCTGCTTTTCCCTTGCTTTTTGTCTCAGTCATATATAAATAATGCTTCTGGTTTGCCCTCTTCCTCATTTGGTGCTGTAGCATACACGCTTTATAAATCCATTTAACCAGTTTCAAGATGCTGCAGATTTTTCTAAGCAATAAAAAGCTCCAATGCTAGGGGTCCTCGGGTGCCACAGACTGTAAATATGTGCCCTTTCTGAATGAATTACAACTGCTTCCAAACACAACATTACTTAACGTAATCTAGCACTGTGAAAACCCTCTATCCACCAAGATGACTAAAGACTCACTCAGCTCGGCATGCAGGATGCTTGAAACTGAATGATCATCGTCTTCCTATGGGAGGCCTTTCAAGGATTACTCTCTAATCGTCAGCCACTCCTTAGAAACCAGAAAAATAAACCAAACATGATGACGCTTGTTACAACAAAGCTAACACATCTGATCCTCGTGCAGTTAAACTGCTGATTCTAATCTTCACACATTATTCAAAGCTGGAGTGCATGAAAGCCGACACATACGTGGTAAAACAACTCACTTTTTTGGACAATCTTCCGTGTTTCCTAATGTCTAAACATAAAGTTTTTATTAGGAAAGTACATATAAAACAGTTAAAGTAAAGCATTTTCTATCCCTATTATCCATGTTCTATAGATATGTCCTAAAGATGTATCTAATTCTATTTTACCGTGGCAAAATTTCACAAAGTCCAACATGATGAATATTGCATAAATATTTTATTAAACAATGTTGTAAAGGCATTTCTGTAGAGCTATATACATTTTGTCAGGGTTAGAGTTGCCATAATCAGTTAAATGGGTGCAAAACGTGTGCAGACAGAAACATTTATGTTTGTTCAGCAAAGAATAAAGATAAATGCAAACATTTTTTTGTGTATTACAGGGTAACCTGACTACTCCTAATCTAAAAGCCTGTAATCATCTTTGGTTAAAGCTCTCTATCAATTACAATGGGGCATAAAATTAGAAAAGGGTATGAGTTGGTGGAATGAGAAGCTTCATGAAGCAAAAAAATGTGAGCGAACAGCAGCTGACTGGAAAACGTCTCGATCAGGAATCTTGTCCAACAAGATCTTTTGATAAGAAGAGGCATCATGGTAAGCCTGCTGAGAAATGACTTTAGATCCTAGTGACAAAGACGTGTAACAATAAAGGTCTTGCCCATGATTGTGGCAAAAAGAATGTTTTCTTGGAAATTAAACACAAGATTAAAGGTGGTGGCAACAAATTTGGTGTTGTTCTTTTTTTTATTAATTTTTTGCTTTGTTGGGTTCTGCTTTAAAGTTATTTATTACCTACATTTTGAAAAAGGTATAAAATATCAGCAGAGAGAACAGAACATAACTAAAGCCGATTTGGGCATCATTTGCATCTCAAATTTAAATTGAGAAATTGAATGTTTAATTGGGGAATTGTTTGTTAAAGGAAGTCAGAGAGGGGTAGCCTGAAAAATAACACCCTGCAGCCTACCGAAGGATTTAAAAGCTCTCATTGGTGAGATTAAGCGTACCCGTAACAGTGTTTCACAGCTTTGCCTAGAAATCAATCAATCATCTGCATTTAATCCAAAATGCTGCTGGGGTTTTTCTTTGATGTGCTGAGATCCCCCAGCATAAACCATGCAGGCCATGCAGTAAGCATAATGCCCCAGTTGCTGCATATCGTGGTTTCACATGTATAACATTGCTCTAGAATAATGTTTCAAACCAGATTTTCCTCTCCTTCCCTTAATTATGCTTTTTGAACTAAATTTTCTGTTTTTCTTTTATATATTATTTATTTACAGCTTATTTTGTAGCTGTACAAAACAATTGCCTCGTAGTAAAGCAAGAATTTGAAACTCAACACCATTTCTGACATATTGAACTAAAAAAGCTTCCTGGATCAGAAGCTAAACGTCTTCAAACTTGGAAACGAAAGTCCAGTGGATTTTTTTTTTTTTTTTTTACTATTTTGGAAAGATTTTGAAACACTACACTTCTATCAGGGTTAAAATAGATGCTGTAATTTTTGCTCTTCATCTAAGCGGGACCGTGACTTTCTACATATTGCGGCTGTAGATCTGGAACCAAACTCACAGCTTTTCAAAAGTCAGAAGTTTTCTTCCGCATGGAGCCACAGCTGCCCCAGTGGAGCAGTTTTAAATTGATCTACTGTACTACCCATTGTAGTAAAGATGGGGGCTGTTATTAGTAGAAAATTTCTTTACCAGAAAGAAAATTAATCAATTTGTAAATATGTCAAGATATGTTATTGATGCGGAGGCTTAATGAATATCTCCCCTACTGCCTTATTAAAACAATGCTAGCTCGGTTTTATGGCTTGCAAATGAGTGTATGTAAAGTGTTTTAGTGTATGTAAAGAGTATGCCTATCTGTAAATTAGATGAATGCAGGCTAGTTAGCAGCCCAGAGCCCAGCTAATTAACTAGATAATGTTGGTTTGTTTTCAGTTCTATATTATGCATAGTAATGATAATTATTTATCATTATTATGCATATCCACCATATTTTGGATTTAAAAGTTGTTTCAAAGTTAAATTGTGAGTTTAAAGCATTGTCAAATGGGTTTTTAGAGACAATAATACAATAATACATAATACAATAAGTTCATAGTAACTCTTCTCTTTGGAATCCAAATGCTTTAGGGTATGATCAGAGATAATTTGGTAGTGCTTCTGTTTTCAGTAGGATTAAAACACTTACCTCTATCAAGGAAGATGCAGCATTTTTTATTTTGCAACTTTATGTAGTAAAATAAACTTTATGCTGTTGGAAGACTTGCATCTGCTTTGGTCCAAAGAAAATTAAACAGGGTGGTTAAACGTACCCCATCCCAAAAAAAAGAAAAGTAATTGAAAGGGGAAATCTTGCACAATTCAACAATCTATATCACACACGTATCCGCAGGAATACGTTGGGAGAACTTGCAAAGTCCATCCATCTATGGCGGCCCAAAGCCCAAACCAGATAACTGTAACTTCAAAGCTCTAGATGTGCATCTCTCAGGAAAAGCTTCTCTCTTTAGTTTGCAAGTTTGTCCACTGCAGACATCAGTGAACTCTCTGTACACAAATGAACTAAGATTTGCAATTCTATTTGAAAAATAACCCTCATCTTTGTTTTAATAACTCTGGTACAAAAAGTGCATATTGTTCAACGTCATAAATGTATAAAATACACAAGTGGTCAAAGACAAACACTTTTAAATCAAATATAGATTTTGTAAATAGAATATTTTATTTCAAGAATCCAATGTGGAAAAAAAACTTAGTTTCTAACAGTTCACACTTTATTAGCCATTTTCTGTGTACAGTGAAGGACTGGACATACTTCAAACTTGTAAAAATAATCATTAATGTCTGTAAAGCAAACGACAGACTGTATGTACACATTAATGTGTGAAATCAGACACACAAAGCAAATCTGAGATAAGTTGCTGGTTTAATATTTCTGCAGACAGACAGGTAAGAAAAAGAGCTAAAATTATAGGGCACCTCAAAATTGGAGGGCAGATATTTTTCTAATATCCCTTTATGAAATAAAAGCAGCCTCAAATCAAAAAGAAAGGAGGAAAGAGACGGCTGAGTTTAGTTGTAGTTTCCATGGCAGCAGTAGTTCACCGTAGGGGCCGGGGGCTCATTCTGTTTGGAAACAAAATCAGAATTCTCATTTACACATCTTTATGTAGTACAGTTTTGCTACTTAAATAAAACCCAAAAAACTGGCAAGTCTTGAAGCTATAGCCAGTTGCTTTGCAAATGAATGCTCCTTAAATTCCTCTTGAAGTTCTAACTTAGATGTTTAAATTTTAGATTAGTCCAACTACCTTAAGATAGTCACACCCAACTGTTTTGTGGGTCTACGACAAACATTTTTTTAATCAATACACAGAAGTTTTTGTGTACATAACTAGAAAAGGTAAAAAAAAAAAGTACTTTTATATTCAAAGAAATAGGCTCAGTTTTTATTAATTTTAGTTTTCAGGAAAAGCAGCAATTAAATTGTAAAGTAATGATCTATATGATAAACAAAATGTAAAATGTTTTATTGCCTTATCTTAAATAGCTATACCTGGAGTTGGAGGGCTTCCACGGACCAGTCTGTTAATCTATTTTCCAGCTATTAGAAGAAAACACAAATTTACTTTTGCTTGCATAACAAGTGCCGAAACATTGTTTTCTTTTTTCTTATAACACAATAATTTCTTATAATATAAATAAGTTTAGAAAAAAAGCACAAACCAGATTTTTTAAATCGGGGTTATGTTTAAAGTGATAGATGCAAGTAAAAAAAAAATGAAATAAGGAAATATACCATCTGTGGGAGTGGATTCGTCAACCGGGACATTGTCAGAAGTTGGTGCTGCAACAGAAAGAAGTTCCTTTAGCATTACGCATCTATTTTGATTCTTTTGCTTTTAGCTCCTTTAGCTTTTAAATATTTTGCTATGTAAGTAAGGTTGTAATATTGTCTGTTTAATTTATTTTCTCTCATGTCTGTGGAGAAGCTTTAAATTATTTGCATAACTGAGACATTAGATCCTCCTGTTATCTTTCAACAAAATATATTTAACCCTCAAATGACCCTCTAAGAGATGCAAACTAAATAAAACTATCATACATGTTAACTGCAAAACATTATAATTTGTTTTGACAGAGGCAGAAGTGTCCATTGCACATTCTTAAGTAATACTATAGCCGAAGAAATCCTAATATTTTTACTTATAAAATGTTGGAACTGAAATGTCTTTATTGTTATTGAGGTTCGGACAACAGAATTACCCTTTTTAGCCAATATGATGGATTCAATATTTAGCCTTAAAACATTTTAATTTCCTAATTCTCTGATTAACCCCTCTTTGAATCTCTGCAGTTCCTCCATCATGAACATACACATCTGGGCAGCTTCTCTGGTCAATGTTCTTCTGGGCTTTTAAATGTCCAATTATTAAAAAGCATTAAAAGACACAAACTATTTCTACTGAGAGCTTTTGCTATATTAAATTTTTCATTCTTCCCAATGATCCGAAGACTCGACAGGCATGGATTATAGTCTATCAGAAGCACAGGGCCACTGGTGTCCAGGCTACCATCACAGGGTCGGGTTCCGTCCCCCGCTGGCTCCCTGCCCCGGTCCGCCGGGGTTCCCGGATCAGCCCCGGAACTGACGGCTCGATACGAGTGCCCGGACTGTTTCGACTACATGCTGCACTGTAGTCGTCCAAAATTCCGGACGATTTTGAAATTCCTCCCAGACATTTTTTTAGGTGTGAAAAAGGGTCACCCTACTCAACAATTTCAATGTTTCAGTGAATAAGTGCTTGTTGCTATGATGCGTCTTTGCTCAGCAGCATCACTCGTTGTGAAACAACCAGTCCGCTCACAGGTCATCTAAATACTCATGAGCATACCATAAACGGATGAAAACCTGTCGTTTCATTCTAGAGCTTTTAGGCTTGCATTAGGGCCCATAGAACAGCAAATATGCCATTTTCAGCCCAACCAATGTTACACACCCTATTCAGAGACCAATACTCTTTAAAATTATTCTATGCCACCTTTAAAAGGTGTAAATATGTTTACAAGGCACTTCAAATTCTTTGCAGTAAAGTCTGAATTATCAACCTATCTCTGTTTACCTTCAATGGACTCATCTGAGAAAATGTCCTCCGTTTCCGACATATTGTCAGGGTTGGATTGGTCTTTGTTGCTGTTATCATTCTGAGAAACCTCCTCCTTCACCTCTTCTTCCTTCTCCCTTTTCACTTCTTCATCCTCCTCCTCTGACTTCTGCAGAGAAGCGTCCTCTGTTATGTCCTCACTCATTGCACCTGTATCCTGTTTATCATCATCATCATCATCGGCATCATCATCATCCTTCAGAGATTTGTCAGATTCTGTGAATTAAACATAATGTTGGGGTTAAAACACAATTTGGTGTTATTTCAAATAAGGCAGCTTCAGAGTTTAGAAGCACTCCCCTGGAGCAGGGGTGTCAAATTTCAGTCATCAAGAGTCAGTGTCCTAAATCTTTTATATGAATCCCTCTTTAGTGGGATTAGCATATGATTCATGTGTGTTAAAGCAGAGATTCCTCTCAAAGTTGAGGAAGGCAGTTTGGTAAAGCTAGCCATTTAAAATTGCTACATTTAAATAATTTTTACAACATGGTAAATGAAAAATAAAAGACAAAATCTGTGATTTGACAGATTTTTTCCCCCATTGCGATTTGTTGTTTATATCTGGTCCTATTAACTGCTATATATATTGTACAAGGCATGCAAAAAAAAAAAAAAACACAAAAAAACCCCAGGATTAACGAAACGCACTCTGTGCGTTCACAAGAGTAGAAACCTCCATGATTCGGACTTTTGAGGGAAATCAAAAGAAACAATAGATATTTGTATATTTGATAACAACATTTGAATTTTTAAACATTAATTAAGAAGAAAAATCGTTATCCAATGGATAACTTTTAAGTGCACCAGTCCCAAATCAGCTAACATTAATGACGATAAAAATTGGACCAAAACCACAAAGTATTGCTCTTAGGCTTCCAATGCTATTCCTTTTTTTTTTGATAATGGTATGTATTTAATGTAGAATACTGACATGCGATTACAATACAACATGTTGAAATAAATTAAACCTTGGAAATGTCCCTTATTTGTTATAAGCAACGAGCAAATCAACTCAGTTCTCGTAATTAAAAAAAACAGGTGTAGCAGTATTAGGCTTTGGGTGTGGTATAAAAAATATAGATGATGTCAGTGGCGATTTTCGAGCAGCTGTAACCCACTGTGTGTATTTCTTTATGGTTACTTTGATGATAAACAGCTAAAAATGTAAAAAAAAAAAAAGTAACTCGATAATGACATTGACTCACCGCGAACATCTGCTGCAACCTGAGCTTCAAAATCCTCATCAAAAGCTACAAAAAACAAAGGAAAAAAAACAGGCGGAGAAGAGAGATTAGCATTGATAATGAAGAGAAGCTAAAGGCTTAAAATCCTCACATAGAAAAGGGAAACTTATCTAAACGCTACCAGCTCGCACTAACAACAGCGTGTGTTCACTTTAGATGGTTTTTAGAGTTAGTAAAAAAAAAACTTAAGGCTAAAATTGTTTTTGTTTCCAAAACACAGACATGCAAGAAACTGTTTAAAGCAAGCTGTATTTCCTAGAGGATGTAGAGATATGTCTGCAGTACTGTAGATTAAAGCATTGGGGGAGAGAAAGAGAGCAAGACTTTGACAGGATAACAGGAAGGCAGAACATAATAGGGGTGAGTATTGGCATGGTTGTTGTGATACAATACATGTCACGATACTTCTGTCACAATACGGTATTAACACCATATTGCAATATCCCTAGATATTGCAATATTTTCCCAACGATCAAAAATAAATGTATAGATTAAAAAGCAAGTGCTCTAAATGATAATCAGAAGATATTGATCATTTAGTTATTTTGATATTCATGTTGTTTGGGGTTTGAGTCAATCCAATTCTTCCACTGTGACTCCCCCAACAACAGATATTGTACTGCGCCGTACAGCAAAAGGACCCCACAAAAATTAATACTCAATTTGCATTGAAAATATATTTTCTTGCATTAAAAATCCATTTATCTCTTTTTACTTTCAGTCATATAATTAAACTGCAGCCAGACAGTGAGTCTGACTACATTTGTCTGACAGAAAGGAACTAAATTAAATTAAACGGCAGAATGGCTAAAAAACATTAATTAATTTTATTGCATCAACATATATTAAAGGTTTGAAAGAGAAATAAGAAAGTCAGTTTTAGCTATGTGCAATAAAAGAGATCCTAATTGACTGATTTTATAAAAGGTTAAGGCTCATGACTAATTTTGGAACTATAGGAGGAGAAATTTTACACTTTTCATTTTATTAAAGCTGGGTTTTTATCACTTCTATTTAACAAACCCAAAGCATGTTGCGGCACATGTTCAAGGCTTTTCTGTTCAACAGTGTTGGTTTTAAAATTGTATTTATATGTTAAGACATAAAGTCTAAAGGAGTATAATGTTAAAAACTTTAAGGGCAGCAATGTGATGAGGTATGTGATCTAAAACACAGAATCTTTAATAGTGTGAAGCATTCTTAAGCTGATGCTAATCTTTTTCGTTTTTAAGAGGCATTTATTTCCTTTTTTAGATTCCATAGCTTTAAACAACCCTAAAAGTTTGAAGTTTTAAAAAATGTTCACGGGGAAGTTCCAGGTAAAGCTATGAGAAACTTTTCTCCCCGTCACACCTGTATTGTTTTTAGATTAGATAGGCTCTGAAGCAATGGCATGCAAGAGAAGGAAGAAGGAAGAAAACCAGCAGGTAACCAGAAGACAAAAACATTTACCGTCAGACTGGCCAACTGTAAAGATAAACATGTTGGACAAGAATGAGACATTAAGTGAATCAAGGATAAACCTGCATGAATGTTAGGCCTAATACAAGAAGTAAACAACGAGGACTAGAACAGTAAAGTACTCCTTTGAATTTAATAATTTAATATATATATCAACTACATGTGACACAAAATATATGCAGAAAGCATTTCAGTTATGGAGGCCTTTGATTAAACAGAATAATGAGTGTTTACCGGTAGGAGCAAACTCTTCAGATGATTCCTCGCTGACGTCTGAAGAAACAACAACAAAAAGTGGTTCTTATGAAATTTCTAACTATATATTAAGCATCTCAGATTTCAAAGTGTTTCAATAAAAGATACAAACTATCAGATTTTACACTGAATTTATAAAAAAAAAACAAATCATTAAACAAAATTATAAAACAAAGCAAATGTATTTGGCTTGGTTACTTTTATAATGTTACTGTTGTGTAGAACTAAAAATATACCTACATTCTATTTAGTTTAAAAATAATAGAAAGTAAAAAAAAAAATAATCTGGCACATATATATATATATATATATATATATATATATATATATATATATATATATATATATATATATATATATATATATATATATATATATATATATATATATATATATATATATATATATATTTTTTTTTTTTTTATATATATATATATATAAACACACATGTAGACTCACACATATATAAAGTCAGGCGTCAAGGGGCTAAAAATAGTCTTTTTTTTCCAAAAAACATGACAAAGAAGCCAGATGAATAAAATACAAAAACTGGTTACCTTCAATCTCTTCAAAGCTTTCTTCTGTAAAATTAAAATGAAAAATTTCAATATTGTCACTTTACAACAACTTCATGCTTTATAATGGAGCATTGTTCTGTTTTTGGTTTTGTTTTGTAATCTTAATTGGTAGCATATCCATCCTCATTTTAAAACACACATGTACTCAAACTTTATCATGTCTTAACACTAAACATATCAGTTAAACTGACTTGAACAAATGTATACAAAGCTCTTCACATTTACTTTCTCTGTTGAAAAACTAAAATGCAACCCTCTTTATAGCAACAGAAAAAAATATATACAGAAAAATCGAATCTTAATACAGTTCAGGAAAAATCTACCAAACCAAATGTTTTATCTTACAAAAGCACATGTGCCACTATTAATTTGCCATACAAAGGAATCTTAACAGAAACTTTCTTTATAAACTGCATATTATATATATATATATATATATTATTAAGGTTATTTAGTATATCCTGGAACTACAAATAATTTATTCAAAATATCATGCCTCCTAGGGGAATACATATATGTATCTCGACAACTCCTCAAAATGAAAGAAAAAAACAAAAAGAAACAAGTAAACTATTCAAGGCTACAGAGGCAGCAAACAGGACAGGACCATATTTATGTTGCCAGAGATATTTAAGAGAAATATCTCCACCTTATTGTTGAAGAATAGCAGCAAAAACTAGTCTGTTGGTTTTAACAAAGCTATTTGAACAGCATGAGACGCTATTTGCATTTTAAGTGATTGTTCAGGAAATGTCAGTCCTACCAGCACTACTGTAAACACGTCAATTCATCTAGATGTAAGCCGCATACTTTAAGAGAAAGATTACGATCTTTGGCAACAAGCGAAGCAGGGAAGTTTGGAGTAAATAAAAAACTGTTTAACATGGAAAAGCACATCCTTGAACAAATTACTTAACAGTTCATTTTTCAATTCGTGGCCATTTGTGATGGTATATTTTTTAAATGTAAAGGACTACTGATGGTGTCCTGTATTCTCAAATGAAACAATAAAGTTTTATTTTTTGAGGTGATTACATTCTTAATATATCTTTTTGATTGTGAAAATTTCCACCGTCTGACATGTACGCTCAGAAGAAAGCTAAACTGTGAAGTCAATTGCTCGATGCAGAGGGTGAGTTTTCTTAAATAACCAATCGGCATTGGAGAAAAATAGATTACATTATAGCATCTATCCATCTGTTCTTGTCTCTGGATCATTTTGGGCCGTGTACCCAATGGATAGTTTGCCAGCCCATAACAAGGAAACATCCAACCATGAACACAGACGTCACAGAGTCATTTAAAGCTACAAATTCACCTAATAACAAAAAGAAGCTAAAAGCATAATTAAAAGAAATATTTATAATCATATTAATACCTTTTGAGTTTTGATCCATATCAGTGTTGACTCCTTCAGAAACAGCTAAAAGAAAAATAAAACATATTTATGACAATTATAATAATATGAATTAAATAATATAGGGAGCTTTTGTTGCAATGAACTATATGTAATCTGCTTTCCATCCCATGAGTTTTACTTAAAGCAAAAAAATAAAAAATGTTATAAATTTTTCTACAGCCTTCTGCTGCTACTCCTGGACCAGTGCTTCTGTGATTTTGCCCAAGTCATTTCAGGCCTGGCTTTGGTGGAGATAAGATTATTTTAAAAGTTTCTTTTTTTCTCTCCACAAATCATAAATAGCTTATTATCAGTTGGCATTATGGTGAAACCCAGGATTGAATTACATAATATGTTATTTACTTAAATCTGTTGTGGTTTGTCTGTCTTCTATAGTACATAATGATCACATTAATTGTGAATTGGTAAGACAGAGTCAAACAAACTAATTCAAACAATCTCACCTGCAGGTTCTTCCTCTGTCACCTTGTCATCTTTAGGAAGATTTAAAAAGGAAAAAAGGATTATAAATATTTAAAAATCATATATTAAAAAACAAACATGAATTGAAAAACCAGGACTGGATTATATCACGTCTAATTTATTTAAATCTGTTGATGTTTGAATTGAAATGATCTGATGAAATGATTCTGGAAATGAACCACGTTTCTGTCCATTCTAAGGTAAATTGAAATCACATTTATTGTGAATTGGTAAGAGACAGTAAAACTGAATTGAATCGCAAAAATCTCACCTTCGGGCTCTTTCTCTGACTCCTCGCTCTCTTCTTCAAAAAGATCCTCTTCAAAAAACAAAAAAGAAAGGTGTAAAAAGGCTATAATAAAACTAATTATCAAATATAATCTTTTTACACACACCCATATATATATATATATATATATATATATATATATATATATATATATATATATATATGGGTGTATATATATATATATATATATATATATATATATATATATGGGTGTATATATATATATATATATATATATATATATATATATATATATATATATATATATATATATATATATATATATATATATACCATAATAATACCTTCTAAATTGTCCATATCATTGGTGGTTTCTTCAGAAGCAGCTAAAAGAAAAATAGGACTTTATTTATGTAAATATAACCAATTAAAACAAAAGTAATGTATAACACAGTAGATGACATAGATAAAGGCTTCCAAAGGATCTTCTGCAGAAACTAATTATATGTTCTCTGTTGTCCATCCCCGAGATATATACGCAATAAAAACCTTCAAACCAATTGTCATCATGTTAAAAAGGGGAATTTAATTAGATCATGTGTGATTTATTTGAATCTGTAGATGTTTAAATTGAAATAATTTGATGATACTTTTCCAGAAACCAACCGGGTTTGTCTCCCCTCTAAAGAACATAATCATCATATTTTAGTGTTAATTGGCAAGATAAAACTGAACTGAATCCAAACAATCTCACCTTTAGTTTCCTCCTTATCATCTTTAATAGGATGTAAAAAGGAAAGAGAAATATTTAAAATTAGTAAATTAAAACAAAAACAACATGAAGTACATCTAAAGCTGCATTTTAAAACATACTAATACCTTGTGAGCTTTTATCCGTATCACTGTCTGCTACTGGAGAAAAAAGACAAAAAAATTAATACAAGATAAAAAAAAAAAAAAAAAAAACATTATAAAGCATTATGAATGAAATAAGGCTTCTTAAGTAGTTTCTGTAGCACCTAAATTTATATAGCAAATTTTCCCGGAGTTTTGCTATTTTTTGCCTCTCCAGATGCAGTAAAATGCTTCAAACCAATTGGCATTATGGTACGAAAAGAGGAGTAGATTAGATCATGCTGTATTTATTTTTAATAAATTCAACAATTGAATTGAAAGGACCTAGTTATATTTTCTAGAAATCATTTGGCTTTATCTGGCTTCTAAAGTATGTTAACATCAAATTCATTGTGAATTAGCAAAATACAGTTTAATTGTACTGAATCCAAACAATCTCACCTTCAGGTTCTTCCTCTGTCACCTGGCTGTCATTAACTTTAGAAAAATTCAAAAAAAGATTTGAAACGTGTAAAAATGCTGTTTCACAATAAAGACAACATAAAGCATCATCAAAGAGATTTCTATAACCATAACAATACCCTCTGGGGTTTGGTCCGTATCAGTGTTGCCTCCTTTAGAAACAACAAACAGAAAAATAATACAAGATCAAAACAAAAATAGTATAAAACACAAAATAAAGCATCATAGCATGATGAATTAAATTGGATTGTGTGTAAATTATTTTAATTTGTTTGGATTAAAAGGATCTGATGACTTTTTTTTGTTTGTCTTCTGAAGTACAAGGATATCACATTTTATTGTGTCCTGGCAAGATACAATAAAACTGAACTGAATCCAATCTCACCCACCTTCAGGTTCTTCCTCTGAGTTCTCGATCGTATCATCTGTAAAAGGAAAAAAGGATTTAAAAGGTGTTTAATTTTTAAAGTGTAAAAGTGTTATATCAAGGCAAAGACAACATAAACTGTATTCAAAGAAATGTCTATAAGCATAACAATACCATTTTGCTCCATGTCAGAGGTAGTTTCTTCAGGAACCACTAAAAGAAAAATAGGACTTTATGTAGTATAATATGTAATATAAGAGAAACAAATAAACATGATGTAAAACAGAGTAGATGACATAGGAAAATACTTCCAACTGAGCTTATGTAGCAGTTAACTTTACATGTGTTATTTCCCTTCTATTTTACTTATTGCGGAAAACAATAACTTAAACTGTGGGTTTTCCAAAATGAAGACCATAATTTTTGCTGCTACTCTTAGTCCTTCTATGTTTTTCTGTTTTCTGGCTCAGTCATCCAGGCCTTGTTTTGGTGAAGATGTAATCAATTTAAATGGGGGATTAGGAATGAATTAGATCCTGTGTAATTTATTTAAATCTGAAGATGTCTGAATAGGAATGATCTTATGATTCTGGAAATCAACTGGGTTTTTCTGTCTTCTAACGTCCATAATGATCACATTTAATGTGAATTGGTAAAATACAGCAAAACTAAACTGAATCCAAACAATCTCACCTTCAGATTGTTGCTCTGACACCTCCCTGTTATCATCTTTAAAGAGATTAGAAAAAAATAATTTTAAATTTAAAAAAAATTCTATATTCAAATAAAGACATCACAAAGCAACATCAAAGAGATATCCTTAACCATAACAATACCTTCTGAGTCTTGGTCCATTTCACTGTTGGCTTCGGTAGAGAGAACTAAAAGAAAAATATTAAAACATCAGAAAAAAAAAGATATAAAACAGGATGGAGGAAATAATATAAGGCTTCTTAATAAACTTCTGTAGCAACTATATATGTACACTCTGTTTTCCATCCCATAGATTTTATTTCTGGCTATAAACAAATAGATTTAACTGTATTTCCCCCAAAATTAATGGGTCCTACAGTAGCTCCAGCTGCTACTCCTGGTTCAGTGCTTCTGTGTTTTTTTTGTGTTTTCGGCCCCAGTCGGTCTGAGCCTTGGTTTCAGTGGAGATGTCATGATCTCAAAAGGTAGTTTGTCCTCTTTAGACACAATACATAGCTTCTAACCAATAGGAGCTATGGTGAATATCAGGGATTGGGTGCAATCTTTTTATTCTGACAGTATTTGAAATGGAATCAATCATCTGATGATATTTTCAAGAAATAAACTGGATTTGATTGTCTTCAAAGTAACTTTGAGATTATATTTTGTTGTGAATAGGCAAGATAAAAATGTAAAAATGTATTGATTCTAATTCAATCTCACTCTCTTTATTTTGATCTTCAAAAAGATGTAAGTTAAAAAAAAGAAACTCTAAATATGTGCAAATGCTTTATATAAAAAAACAAAACAAAGACAACTTAAAACATTATCAAAGAAATATCTCTAACAATAAAAATACCTGCTGAGATACCATCCATATCAGTGTTGGTCTCTTGAGAATCTAGAAAAAGAAAAATAATACAAGATCAAGGCCTGATCTACACAAAGACCAAAAAGCTACATTTACATGAACAGCTTAAAAAAAGGAGGGATTAGGAAGCCGATTATCCAGTACTAGTAGTATGATTTTCCACTCAGCAGGTGTTTTTGGGAATAAAATGTAGTCATTGCTGTGCTGCACCAAGGATGAATTGTAGAGGGAAAATTAACAACTTTAGACTCTAAAGAGAATTTTTAAAAATGGAATTCGAAAAAGGGAGGTAAGGTTAAATCCCCAGATGTTTTTAACATGGCAAAACACTTTTTGTGCACACCTTAGTAATTAGTGTAGGCAAATAGTATTTTGTAGGATTGAAAAAGTATTTCTTGCGCATGTTACATTTATTTATTTTTTCAACCATGTCAGTTCCCGGGCTCCGTACATAAAGCATTCTCCATTTGTAAACACAATTTAAGCAACAAAATATTATTGCAGTTAAACGTAATCCAGTCTGAGTGGATGGGGCCTAAAACCAAAAAATTATAAATATCATAAAGAAAAAAAAAATTATCAAAGGCACTTCTGTAGCAACTAACTTTTAACTCTGTTCTCTATCCCATTTTATTTTTGGCTATAAACAAATAGCTTTAACTGTATTTTCTCCAAATTGAAGCCCCTACTGTAGCTCCTGCTGTTACTCTTGGTTCATTCTTCTGTTTTTTTTGCTTCTGTCGTTTTCAGTCTGGTTTTGATGGTGATGTCATCAAATTAAATGGGAGTCTTTCCTCTACACACACAATAAAAAGCTTCTAACCGATTGGAATTATGGTGAAAATCAGAGATTGAAGTAGATCAATTGTTATCGTCAAAAAGATTTATAAAAAATAAAAATAAAAATTATTGAAATGTTAAAAAATTATATATTAAAATAAAAACTTAAAGCATAATCAAAGAGATATTTAAAACCACTCTAATACCTTCTGAGTTTTGATCCATATCACTGGTGGTTCCTTCGGAAATAACTGAAATGAAAATAATACCAGATCAACACAAAAATAATATAAAACAATATGGAGGAAATAAGGCTTCTAAAGGAGCTTCTGTAGTTGCTAACAATGCATACTCCATTTTCTATCCCTAACACACAATAAAAAGCTTCTAACTGATTGGAATTATGGTGAAAATCAGAGATTGAAGTAGATCAATTGTTATCATCATAAAGAATTATATAAAAAAAAAAAAAAACATTCTTGAAATGTTAAAAGATTATATATTAAAATAAAAACTTAAAGCATAATCAAAGAGATATTTAAAACCACTATAATACCTTCTGAGTTTTGATCCATATCACTGGTGGTTCCTTCGGAAATAACTGAAATGAAAACAATACCAGATCAACACATAAATAGTATAAAACAATATGGAGGAAATAAGGCTTCTAAAGGAGCTTCTGTAGTTGCTAACAATGCATACTCCATTTTCTATCCCTAACACACAATAAAAAGCTTCTAACTGATTGGAATTATGGTGAAAATCAGAGATTGAAGTAGATCAATTGTTATCGTCAGAAAGAATTATAAAATAAAAAAATTCTTGAAATGTTAAAAAATTATATATTAAAATAAAAACTTAAAGCATAATCAAAGAGATATTTAAAACCACTCTAATACCTTCTGAGTTTTGATCCATATCACTGGTGGTTCCTTCGGAAATAACTGAAATGAAAATAATACTAGATCAACACATAAATAATATAAAACAATATGGAGGAAATAAGGCTTCTAAAGGAGCTTCTGTAGTTGCTAACAATGCATACTCCATTTTCTATCCCTAACACACAATAAAAAGCTTCTAACTGATTGGAATTATGGTGAAAATCAGAGATTGAAGTAGATCAATTGTTATCATCAGAAAGATTTATAAAAAAAAAATAAAAAAATTCTTGAAATGTTAAAAAATTATACAGGTAAAAGCCAGTAAATTAGAATATTTTGAAAAACTTGATTTATTTCAGGATTTGCATTCAAAAGGTGTAACTTGTACATTATATGTATTCATTGCACACAGACTGATGCATTCAAATGTTTATTTCATTTAATTTTGATGATTTGAAGTGGCAACAAATGAAAATCCAAAATTCTGTGTGTCACAAAATTAGAATACTGTGTAAGGGTAACATTTTGAAGACACCTGGTGCCACAAACTAATCAGCTGATTAACTCACAACACCTGCAAAGGGCTTTAAATGGTCTCTCAGTCCAGTTCTGAAGCCTACACAAACATGGGGAAGAGTTCAGATTTGACAGCTGTCCAACAGGCGACCATCGACACATTGCACAAGGAGGGAAAGACACAAAAGGTTATTGCTGAAGAGGCTGGCTGTTCTCAGCGCTCTGTGTCCAAACACATTAAGAGAGGCAAAGGGAAGGAAAAACTGTGGTCAGAAAAAGTGTACAAGTGATAGGGATCACCGCGCCCTAGTCAAGATTGTGAAAAAAAAAAACATTCAAAAATGTGGGGGAAATTCACAAGGAGTGGACAGCTGCTGGAGTCAGTGCTTCAAGATCCACCACCAAGAGACGCTTGAAAGACATGGGTTTCAACTGCCGCATACCTCGTGTCAAGCCACTGTTGACCAAGAAACAGCGCGAAAAGCGTCTCACCTGGGCTAAGGAAAAAAAGAGCTGGACTGCTGCTGAGTGGTCCAAAGTCATGTTTTCTGACGAAAGCAAATTTTGCATTTCCTTTGGAAATCGAGGTCCCAGAGTCTGGAGGAAGACAGGAGAGGCACAGGATCCACGTTGCCTGAAGTCTAGTGTAAAGTTTCCACCATCAGTGATGGTTTGGGGTGCCATGTCATCTGCTGGTGTCAGTCCACTCTGTTTCCTGAGATCCAGGGTCAACGCAGCCGTCTACCAGCAAGTTTTAGAGCACTTCATGCTTCCTGCTGCTGACCTGCTCTATGGAGATGGTGATTTCAGGTTCCAACAGGACTTGGCTCCTGCACACAGCGCAAAATCTACCCGTGCCTGGTTTACGGACCATGGTATGTCTGTTCTAAATTGGCCAGCCAACTCCCCTGACCTTAGCCCCATAGAAAATCTGTGGGGTATTGTGAAAAGGAAGATGCAGAATGCCAGACCCAAAAACGCAGAAGAGTTGAAGGCCACTATCCGAGCAACCTGGGCTCTCATAACACCTGAGCAGTGCCAGAAACTCATCGACTCCATGCCACGCCGCATTAATGCAGTAATTGAGGCAAAAGAAGCTCCAACCAAGTATTGAGTATTGTACATGCTCATATTTTTCATTTTCATTTCCCTTTTTTGTATTAGCCTTAAGTAATATTCTAATTTTGTGACACACGGAATTTTGGATTTTCATTTGTTGCCACTTCAAATCATCAAAATTCAATGAAATAAACATTTGAATGCATCAGTCTGTGTGCAATGAATAAATATAATGTACAAGTTACACCTTTTGAATGCAATTACTGAAATAAATCAAGTTTTTCAAAATATTCTAATTTACTGGCTTTTACCTGTATATTAAAATAAAAACTTAAAGCATAATCAAAGAGATATTTAAAACCACTCTAATACCTTCTGAGTTTTGATCCATATCACTGGTGGTTCCTTCGGAAATAACTGAAATGAAAATAATACCAGATCAACACAAAAATAATATAAAACAATATGGAGGAAATAAGGCTTCTAAATGAGCTTCTGTAGTTGCTAACAATGCATACTCCATTTTCTATCCCTAACACACAATAAAAAGCTTCTAACTGATTGGAATTATGGTGAAAATCAGAGATTGAAGTAGATCAATTGTTATCGTCAGAAAGAATTATAAAAAAAAAAAATTCTTGAAATGTTAAAAAATTATATATTAAAATAAAAACTTAAAGCATAATCAAAGAGATATTTAAAACCACTGTAATACCTTCTGAGTTTTGATCCATATCACTGGTGGTTCCTTCGGAAATAACTGAAATGAAAATAATACTAGATCAACACAAAAATAATATAAAACAATATGAAGGAAATAAGGCTTCTAAAGGAGCTTCTGTAGTTGCTAACAATGCATACTCCATTTTCTATCCCTAATAGCAAAATAAAAAATAGTTTTAACAGTATTTTTCCAAAATGAAGCCCCTATAGTTACTAGAACTCATACTTTTATCTTAAGTATTACTGATTACCTGGCCCGTGTCTTCATAAATTTGCCTAAAAAGTCTGTCAGAACGCTGCAAATGATCAAAAAGAGTGCTGCCCTAGTTTTCACTAGAACTAAGCAAATAGAGTTTATCAGCCTGGTTTTGAAGTTCTTCCATTGGCTCCTTGTAGCTCAGAGAATATACCGGTACTTTAAAATCCCTTTGTTAGTCTATAAATCACTGAATGGATCAGCACCTCAATACATAACAGATTTGTTGTCAGTGTATCAACCTCCCAGGCCACTCAGGTCTTCTAGTTCAAACCTACTCTTTTCACCCAGAACTAGAACCAAACATGGAGAAGCAGCATTTAGTTCCTAGGCTCCACTTATCTAGACCTAAGACTGAAGACTGGACTGAAGTCCTGAAGCCTGAGTTCTTTTAAGTCAAAGTCAAAAACTGTTAACTGGGGTATCATGACTTGAAGGTTGTTATTTGCTTTTATGGTTCTTCTATTTTATTGTTTAATTCATGTACAGAACATTGAATTATCCTTGTACTGAATTGTGCTATAAAAAGAAAAGCCTGGCCTTACTGCGGCTACTCCTGGACCAATGCTTCTGGGTTGTGATCTTTCTGTTTTGTTCTAACCCTGGTTTTGGTGGAGAGGAAATCATCTTAAATTGTAGCTTTTCTCTCCACTGTCATCACATGCTTGCTCAGTAGGAGGCAAAATACAAAGTCAGTAATTTGATCCAGTTGTTCAAATAGATTTTAGCCTATTAGCATTATGATGAAAGTAGGAATTCAGCTAGATTAGGTTATTAAAATCGGTGAATGTATGAACTGGAATGATTAGATGACATAATTCCGGAAATAATCTGGGTTTGATTGTCTTCTGAAGCAAACTGGGATCACATGTATTTTGGGTTGGCAGGATACAGTAACATTAAAATGAATATGAACAATCTCACCTTCAGGTTCTTCCTCGGACATGTCAGTATTTCCATCTTCAAAAAGATGTTAAAAAAAAGAATTAAATATGCACAAATGCTATATTAAACTTTTATAAGCCATAATATAAAATACTTTCAAAATCAAACATTTAACCTAATAGCATTATTGAAAATAGAACATTATTATATATGACACAGGATGCCAGAGACAGTAATATTAATAGAAACAGATGATATAATGCTGCAGTAAGGTATTGATTTCATGTGCAATTAGAAGATGAGCTTGAAAATGAAAGATAACTTAGTAAACTGTGAAGTTAGTGAGATTGTAACTATTCATTGGCTTAAAAAGGTATTAGTTTAAATACAATTATTTGACAATAATGTTTATAAACTGAAATGAAAAAAAAAAAGCTTAGTCTTTTCAGAGGTTGGTTGAATATGGAGCAATGAGTGTCAGGGCAAAGCCTTTCAAGCTCGTTCCACAGTCGCTCTACTGGTTTTCAGGCTCAGGCTGACTGAGTCCTGAGCTTTGATGCCATTACGGTGATCTGGGGATTAGATGACTCCCAACTGAACCATGTTTCTGCTCCAAAACAAGGGGAGTTTAGACAGTGATCCAAGACAATAATTACTACACTTGCTGCTGGTACATGGTTACCCAGTTGAAATTAGATATTAACAGACACTGTATGTGAATATGAATCCTTCTGCTAATCCTGACCGACTTAAAATAGGAAAGCTTTGCTTTTTTGTTAGGGAGCAACAAATTTATCTATTTAAATGAGGAAGCTTTCTCACCCCGTCCCTTTATACAAAACAGGGTAACACACCATCCTGCAACTAAATGTCTATTAAACAAGATGCTCCCTCCGCTGTGCTTTACAATAAGGATTGTGTTCTCAGGCTTGCAGGCTTCACCCTTTTTCCTTCAAATATGGGGATGGTCACAAATACCAAACATTAGAGTTTCACTTTATCAGAAGACATTTCTCTTTTTGCAAACATTAAAATATGGCATCCATGTTTATTTTGGGTAATGGCTGCTTACTCTCTGGGTGGGCTTAGTGAACAATCATAGCTTTTTTATTGTTGTTGTTAATTACATAAATCCTGACGGTTGGTCACTTCCATGTAATTTATACTTTAAATTTAATTTATCAAAATCTTCTTACTTTAACTTGTGACTGTAAAAGCCAACAGTAAGGAAATCTGTCTTATCGACTTGGAGAAGCAACAGGTAATACATGATTGGGGCCTTCTGGGGTTAAGGATCTTACTCAGCAATGGTCTGAGTTTCAAAATTGTGACCTTTAACCTGGCTTTATAACCACTTCAATTAATAGTTTGGGACTTTGTTACTTTTACATTTCAAACAAAGAGGGAAAATATTTGGGATCTTCTTAGAAATATAGCTTACAAATCCACAACCGACCAAGATATCTGCTTTGCTGCTTTATTTAAAAGCATTTAATTTTATCGTATTGTATAAGAAGGTCATTAAAATAAACCCATCATGCAAAAAATTTTTTTTTTCAGTACACAGAAATATATTACCGATGTTTGTGACCTAAAAATAGCATTTAATGTATTTATGGAAGTTAAACCAACAATCATGTCTCTGTTCTCTTTAAATGACTGATTTCACCTGTATGTAACCTGAGCATATTAACTATTTTTTTAGGATAAAAACCTCTATCTTTACAACTCAGAATTACATTTTCTGGAAAACATCTTGTTCATATTCTAATATAAAACTTTTGAAAACTGAAAACTCACAAAGAATAAGACAGCTCTGAACTATAGATGGGTAATGAGGAAAAAAAGCTTCATAATAATCTGTTGCTTTATTGGTTTCTTTAAAAATCAATGGTGATACATTATTATATTAATAGTCTCATTAATAAAAAGATGTCTGTTTAAATGTTCATAAGTAATAAAACAAACTGAAATTGATTAAAAAAGGTAAATCAAAATTTACTAAACCTAACACTAAATTCTCTTTAAAATGACATAATTTATAGATAATCACATGCTTTTAACTAGCAATAACCTTTTTTTTTTTTTTACAATATTCCAACGGCAGTTAGGCTTGAAAAGTGTGAATATTTTAGAATGCAACCAAAAATAATGCCAATTAGGTTCATGATACTTTTCGCATCTCTGCTCCATTGTAAAAATGATTGAATAATGGTCCAATTTCCTACCTGTTAAAATAAATATATTGTCTGTTTTAGTGAAATAAAAGCCCAACTATTACTATTATTTACATTTTAAGTTTCTGAATAAATGATTGAAATTGGTTTGTTTACCAGCTCGACCCTGGCCCTCTGTGTTCGAAGGCTTTTACTGAGTATTTTTGCATTTTTTATTGCCTTTTTCTTTACCTTCAGAGTTGCTCATTGCAGAAGACTGGGCCTGACTCTCCTGGGATTCAGCTAATGGATGCACAGAAAAAAAAGGCATTTAAACATGCAACTTTGTGATGCATAAATAAGATTTCTTTATATGACAATAATCTAGGAAATGGCTTGAACATGAGTTTCAGTTTTGGTGCGGTGGAGATGAATACTCAAACGTACCCTGAGAAGGTAAGTCTGTTTGCTCGTTTGTATCTGTAGGAACGAAAACATGAGCGTAGGTCAACTAACGGTCAGGTAGGCGTTGAGGTAAGCACACAGATCAAGGTTCAGGTCAATGAGCATTACCTTGAGTTTCCTCTGGGTTTTCCTGGCTGTCATCTTTGGGATTAAATAAATGTTCAACAGTTAATAATGAACAATACATCAGAAAAGCAGATAACACAGGTATGGGTAATAATCCGGTAAAATATTTGGGTAAGCTGAACACTTAAGAAAAGTTAATCAAATTGTTTATACAGAAAAACAAAAGACAAGAATATATGTTAAATCTGCATTTATTAAGAAAATGAGACATCTAAGGAACACAAAGTCGTATGCTGAGATAGATGTGGATGAAAGCTTACTACCATTGTTGCTTGTAGCATCAAGTGAATCTGCATCAGTTTCTTCTTCTTCCTCAACTGCGATACAAAACATTAAAAGCATTGTAATTAACTAACATAGTTTTAAAAAATAAACGCAAAACATGATAAAAAATCTCCTTTAAAAGACATTTTCCCTTAGAGAAACGCTGACCTGAAGTCTCAGATGCTTTAACAGTCAGAGGAGGTTTAGAAAAACAACAGTGAAATACATATGTAAAACTGCCAGGTCATTAAATGGAGAAACAGCCATGCAGGTGCTTGTACAAATAAGTTATAAACAATTTGATAACGCCAACCTATTTTAAACAATCTTTGAATCCTGCTAAGTACCCTGTACATACTGTGTTAAAGAAAAAAAGAAACTTCTAGATTTATTACATAAGAATTTGTGTTCAATTTGATCGTTACAGCTCCTGAAAGTGATAATGCAATTTCAAATGAAATTTGATATTATGCAAGCCTTATACAAAAAATTGTTTTTATTGAGAAACTATGTGAGTTGGGTTCCCAATGTATAACAAAGCCTGCTGAATGAACAGCTGCTTGGCATAAAGTCACTGACAGCCCCCCATGGTGATCTACAAATATCACTGGTAAAGGAGGCAACTAAGTGACCAGTCTATGCATATTAACTGAAAGTTTGGTGAAAGGAAAACCTCTGGAAACATGAGATCAAGCAACTGAGAAAACACCAGTTTGAGAGAATAGTAAAGTAAAGCCCATTCAATGTTTTGGAGTTCCAGGTTTGGAAATCAAGGTCCTGGAGCCTCTAGAAAGACCAGAGAGAGACAGATCCATGTTGCGCAAAGTCCAGTGTGAAATATCAGGAGCAATGCTGTTGTTGGTGTCATTGGGTTTTGTCTACATGCTAAATTTTGAGGACTCCAGTTAAGCTCCATAAAGATGCTGCTTTATTTACCAGCAAGCTTTGACCCCTGCCCACACTGTCAAAATGACAAAAGCTTGTTCAGTGGAAGTGGTCCTAATTTACCACCTGAATGCCAAAGAGGAAAGGAGAGACGCCAAGGCAAGCAATACACATTAGCAGAGGTCCACTATTAAAGCAATATGAACGCCTCAGAAGAGCTAAAGGCTGATCAACTCAAACTGAGCCCCAACAAGTCCTAAGTGCAGATAGCATATATGAACATGCTTTAAATAGGCTGACAATTCAATGTAAATTAGTATTTTTATCAGTCCGGTGTCACATATTGTCACACATTAGGCTGTTAGAAATGTAAAACATGTTTATTTTCTGACTATACCACAGGTAAACTGTCATACCTTTACGCCATCCAATGCCAAGTTAACATTTTGTGTAGAATAATGTGGCATAGAATTACAGTACAAAAGAGTAAATGTGGTTTTGCTTGAAGTGTAAAGCTGAAAGCTGGGAATTTTTTTAGTCTTCAAAGAAATTGAGCTGTTTACGGATATTACTCTTGAAAACATACACAAATGAAAAAAAAAGGTTATATGAATATAAATCTCAAATCTTTGTCCCACCTTCGCTGGCAGCAGCAGGTGTTTCAGTCTCATCTGACTCAGCTTGAAGACAAAAAAAATACAATATTGATCATTAAACTGAACAACAGAATGGTTTAAGCGTTTATATTTTCTGATGGATTAGAATATTCTCATTAACGGCTTTAGTGAGTTCGGAAATTCAGCATTATATACAAAGAGTCAGCTGCTACTTCTCTGTATTTTTTGAATATGAAAGCAAGTATATTTGGAAACAGAAATATCTTTTGGCACTCAGATTAACTCAGAGCAAAGACAGCAAACAGTAAAGCTATGTGAGGTTTTAAAATCAGCTCCTTCAAAGTGTGCTCAAGGTGTTTGCAGTCTTTGTTCTCTGTGTATTTATCAAACAAGGCTATGACTGTGCAGTTACCTGGCGCTGTGGTTGTCTGTTTACTTGCATCTTTCCCTAAAAATAAAAGGTACAACATAATTTAACCCTCTGCTCAGTACCCATGGATAATTTTTGAGATCATTCTTTTATTACCGTTCAGGTGGGCCAACAGGGCTACTTCTCTTTCTA